TGTAGTACAGAATGCATAATATTGGATTTCGAAGACACTAAACGTACCAGGAAAACCGGCATAATATGCGGCCATCCTGCACTCGATAGCTCTAAGCGAACCGGGAGCCAAAACGGTCCCTACAACTATATCCCCAACCTCGGCAGGATTAATATTCGTTCTCTCTATCAATGCCTGCAACAAGTGAGAAACACCATAAACAATTCAGACCAAGAAAATACAGAAGACATAAAAAAAAATCATGGACACAAAAGTATAAAAGGAGATCAACAGCTTTATTAACAAGTATATAAAAAGTTACCTTGAGTACAGAGGCAAGTAAATCATCCGGAAGTGTATCCTTAAACCCACCTCGTTTGGATTTGCAAATCGGAGTCCGATAAGCTCTGCGACAAAATAAACGGGCAGATGCAAGTTACATAACATAAAGGGTAGCTGACAATTTTTTTGTTTAGAAAGTGAGAGTCAAAACTCACGCTACAATGACAATGTCATCCTCCCCAGAAGCATTATCCCCAGCCAAGCATATCAAAGGCTGCCAAAACAAAATCCAAACGTGAATCGCCAATGGCTCAAGGTGAAAGATTTCATGCAATAGTACTATAATAATAATAATACTGAATAACAACAACAAATTAAGTCAAAAAATTATTTCTAAACTATAAAAAATATCATACTACAAACCCCTGTAATGTTGGCTAATGAATGATCAATTCATAGAACAGAATCAAGAATCAAGGATATTCCCTAATTTGACTCAACCTCAGATTTTTTTTTTTTTTTGTGCCCATCAATTAAAAGCAAAAAACGAAATTAAAGACCAAAAAAGGTTGAGAAAAAAAAAATTAAATAAAAAAAAAACTCACAGATAGAGAAGAAGATTCAGAGGTCTGTCGAGAAAACGAAGAAGAGGGTCGCAAATGTTGTAGCAAGATTCTCTGCCTGTTGATGGCTTTCTCCATCTCTCAGTATTGTGCTCAAAAAAAAGATTCTGTCTTTCGAATCAACAAGTCGAGGAAACAAATGATAATTTTCGCTTCCTTAAATTGAAAGCGCAAAAGGGCCGAACTTGGAGCGTTTGAAAGGAGCTTCTTTAATGGTAAACTATAAAAATGGAAGCGCCGTGTTTCATGTGGACGGTGAAAAGGAAATGGGTAACAGATTACTCTGAAATTCCACGAAAAACATGTGTGTGTATTTGAGTTGAGCGATCGTTGTCGGGAGTTGTTGGGAGCATCAGCCAGCTCTTTAAACAAAAAAAATAAAGACAAAAAATAAACAAAATCTGAAAGTCGGAGAAAATAAGAAAGAGCAAACGAAAGGAGTGAAAAAAATGTACAGAAACCTCGTGGTCGTAGACAGGAAATCTCGAGAGTCAAAGAGAGGAGTCCGGGGTGCCAATCAGGGCAAATATTTAGGTGTGCCCTGGCACACCTAGTTTGTGTGAATTATCTCCTCTAAAGGCACGCGAGAGGTAAAGAGGTAAGTGTTTTTTTTTTAAATGGTACATGTGTCCCATTTTTATTGGGTAATGAATTTCATTTATCATATTATATAAATTA